TGTACTGTATGCTGAACTAAATGTGAGCTGAAATGAAAGCTTTCTTTCATCCGTAAACTACCAGTCTCCCCATCCCCTACATAATGACGAACAGCAGTTAGACACCTTTGAAATCCAGCCTAGAATGAGAACCATGACTACCTCTATAGATACAGTGGAGATGTAGACATTCAGAGACCAGAGTTATTTCATTCAAATGATTAACAGGAAATAAAGGGTTAAAAAAGGAAACAAATGCAACCACTATATGAGGCTACAGGCATAATAGCGTTTTTTTAAGCTCCTAGAAGCTGTTATCAGCACTTTTTCTGTTCTTAGCCTAAAGTAGTGGCATGGACACCTAGAATAACACTATTTAGATTCTATTAGCATTTTTTGAGCTTCAGCGTCAGAAAAAAGAAAAGAATAAAACAAGCATTTTTGGAGAGTTTTTCCAGCAGAAAATAAAAACGCTAAACACTTTTAAAACACTCCTAACAGCTTTTTTTCTAGCTTTTAATGTTTTCCTATACATGTACTGTAAAAATGCTAATAAAACGCCATCGCTCCTAAACTTTACTGAACGCTACTAAAAACACTATTACCAGTTATCTTGTGTGCCGCCTACCCCCCCCCCCCCCCCCCCCCCCCCCGCTGCACACAGCCTTGAAGCAGGCTGTGCGGGATGAGGGGGAGGGGATCGCTGTGGCAAGGGTCACAGCTTCCCCAGCAATTCAGCCGAAAGAGCTGTGACCCCCCCCCGCCAGGAAATCCCGGTGGGGGGCCGCTGGGAGGTCTCTGCACACCCCTGGCGGGGGCAGGTCTTCCCGCGCTCGGCGCCCCGCCAAAGACAAAGGCCACGCTCCCTGCATGTGGCCAGAGTGAGGGGGGCATGCCTTGTTGCTCCGGCAACGCAGCACTGGGCCGGCCATTGCCAGGGCAACCCGGAAGCGTCCCACGCGGCTTTTAAAAGGCCAGCGCGAGTCCAGGCTTGCTTTCTCTCCCTTCTTCCTGCGCTGTCCGGCCACTCTCCCTTGGCCCCCTGTCGTGGGAGGTTTGGGTGGGGACCGGGCCTCCGCAGCCATCCCCGCTGAGAGCTCTGCATGAGCCCCCCTCCTCAAAAGGTCAGACCCCACAGCCATGACTCCCGCTGCTGTTCCTGGCAAGCTGGCCGGGGGCCCCTGCCTGCTGATCGCTGGGCTCCTGGAGAAGCTGGCCACTGTGAGGGCCCATGCCTGCTGATCGCTGGGCCCCTGGAGAAGCTGGCCGTGGTGAGGGCCCCTGCCTGCTAATCTCTGTTGTCCCCTGAAACACTGGCCGCTGTGAGGGCCGCTGTCCGTTGCAGAGGGTCCCCGGGAAGCTGCCCTGTCTGCTGATTGCTGGGTCCCTGGAAGCTGCCTGCTAGCTGCCCCTAGTGTGCGCACAGACCACCCATGTCCTGAACTGTCCCTGTTCTGCGCACAGACCACCCTTGTCCTGAACTGCCCCTAGTGTGCGCACAGACCACCCGTGTCATGAACTGTCACTGTTGTGCGCACAGACCACCCGTGTCCTGAACTGTCCCTGTTGTGCGCACAGACCACGTGTCCGGAATTGTCCCTATTGTGTGCACAGACCACCCGTGTCCTGAACTGTCCCTAGTGTGCACACAGACCCCCCGTGTCATGAACTGCCCCTAGTGTGCTCACAGACCACCCACGTCATGAACTGTCCCTAATGTGCGCTCAGACTCCTAGTCAAAGTCCCGTTGAGTCCCCGTGAGCCTGTTGTCCCTAGTATGCTGTGTTGAGGCCAGACTCGACAGCCAAAGTCCCGTCGGGTCCCCGTGAGCCTGTTGTCCCTAATACGCTGCGTGGGAGCTGCTGCGTGGGAGCTGAGGCCAGACTCCACAGCCAAAGTCCCTTTGGGTTCCCGTGGGCCTGTTGTCCCTAGTACGCTGTGTTGAGGCCAGACTCCACAGCCAAAGTCCCGTTGGGTATCCGTGAGCCTGTTGTCTCTAGTACGTTGTGTGGGAGCGGTGTTGAGGCCAGACTCCACAGCCAAAGTCCCGTTGAATCCCCGTGAGCCTGTTGTCCCTAGTACGCTGTGTGGGAGCTGTGTTGAGGCCAGACTCCACAGCTAAAGTCCTGTTGAGTCCCCGTGAGCCTGTTGTCCCTAGTACGCTGTGTGGGAGTTGCGTTGAGGCCAGAATCCACAGCCAAGGTCCGTTGAGCCCCCCATGAGCCCGCTTACAAGCCGCATGTCACGGAGTGCCATGAACTTTCCTGGTTGAGTGTCTTTTATAGTTCAATAAAGCTTTATGTGTTCCCCATCTTCTTCGTGTGTTCTGTCCTGCCTACGCTTCCGTCACACCAGTGTTTTATATCCAGCGGTTTTTCCAGTGTTTTTTTTAGCTAGCGTGCATGGAAGCTGAAAAAATGTATTGTGTTTTTGTTTGGTTTAGATATACTGTAAAGGTCCTCAATTCTGAAATTAGGATATGTTCTCCACCCCAACTCCACACACATTGGTATTCTAAATAAACCTACAAAAAAACCAGCAGGAGCTGGGTAAAATCATTACATAAAGATTGAGATATGGCATGCAATAGTATGGTTGGTATGGAGTCTCACTCCTTCAGCAATTTATTACAAAGAATGCTGCTTTTAATTGAAGGATGATGGGCAGGAGGGAGCCGATGTTCAACCAGATCCTCGGGAATTGGATAATATTTGAAGTGTATGGCCAGCTTTACTCTTCTTCTCTTTATCTTTGTCACCGCTCAACCAAAACCCTTATTATGGTACCATCTTGTGAATGTGCCATCCTAACCAGCCTGTTTGCCCTTTCTGCGGTTATCTGCTGGAGAGTCTGGAGACTCTTCTTGCAGTCTGGTGAGCATGCTGTTATCTGCTGAAGTGGTTGTGTCCTTCACAACTATCCCTGGCCACTTAATCTGAGATTCACCTCAAGTTTATGGTCTTATTTTAGGTACTCAGTGACTAAGCTATTTAATTCTGTGCTGAACTGTGTCTACTTATTAGGCTACCAGGCCCTGGCTTGTATTTGGATCAGTTCTGTCTAATTGACTTCTGACCTTTGGCTTGTACGACCATTTATCTGTCTACCATATTTCAATAGTGCTTACCCTTGGCCCAGAAGATAACCACTGTGTCATGGAGTCTCACTTGCACCAGTTCACTGCTGCCTCTCTGGACTTCTGAAAAGCTCCTTCAAGCACTTTACTTCTGTCCAGCCTGTATCAGCAGTCACCAGCAGAGCCTCTATCAGGGGATCAATATGGTGTTATTGTGGCATTGTGCCCCCTGTACGTCTGGGTTAGCTGAACATCTTCTGGTGGCATATATGATCTTACTCAAATAACTCTGAAAGCAGACACTACTGTGCTTATTTACTAAAACTGGTACACTGCTTCATAGAAACCAATCAGCTTCCAGGTTTTATTGTCAAAGCTTAATTGAACAAGCTGAAGTTAGAATCTGGTCCTGCTGTGCATGGTAGCCAATCAGCTTCTGAGTGTTCCAGTTTTAGTAAATCTACCCCTCTATGTCCCTCGTGTATGCCATAACGTGCTTGTATGTACAATTCTGCTCCTGAAACTACTTTCTACTTTTATGTATGTAAATCACTAGGCCTTAGGGCTGCTTCACACTGGAATGTGGAAAAAGTAGTGCAATCACTACTTTTCCAAAACACAATGCACCAATTGTGTGGTACTGTGGTACTATGTGATTTGGTGCCCATAAACATGCTGCATTCTAAAGGTTTTTATTTTTTTAAAGAAAAAATAACAAACATGTCTATACTTACCTGCTGTGTGCAGTGGTTTTGCACAGAGCGGGCCCGGATCCTCCTCTTCTCGGGTCCCCGACGGCACTCTTAGCCCCTTCTCTCCTGTCGGGTGCCCCCACAGCAAGCAGCTTGCTATGGGAGCACCCACTGCTCCGTGAGTCCATTCACACATAAAGCCATGGCTCGGCCCCACCCTCCTCTTTTCTCATTGGTTCACTGGCTGTGACAGACAGAAGTGGAAGCCAATGGCTCTCCCTTCGGTCTCAGGTAATGAGAAGAGGGAGTCCTGGGATAGCCGAGACTCCAGTGCACATCGTTGTATCGAAAGGAGGCTTAGGGGGTCCTGGGGGGATGCTGCACAGAAAAGGTTTTTTTACCTTCATGCATAGAATGCATGAAGGTAAAACACCTTGAGCCTTTGCAACCACTTTATAAATTCATTGCCACCCACATCTGTAGGCAAGCTGATTGTAACCAAGTTGAACCATTGATTGACTTGGGTGCAACCAGCATTTTGTATTTTCATCATGTGACTATTGACGACAGCAGCTATAGCCGCTAGCAATAATCACTGTGTTCTCCCAGCAGGGATGGCTCCCCATGCCCCCACCAGGAAAAAAAACGCAATAGCTCTGCGGGAGGGATTTTTCCATCAAATACTGTGTTAATGCGGGAATCATCTATGACCCGCCTTACAGAGAAAATCACTGAGAAGGTTTGTGTCATCACTATTTACCAAAATAGAGAAATGTCCATGGGTAAGGAAAGAAAAAGCTAAAGCCCAGAACTCCAGAGGGTAGGTACCACGATTGGACAGAAAACATACAAGTTAGCACATTTTTTAACCAGCAACCATCCACCTCCAAACCGAAATATCCCTTAGTCAATTTAGTGCAATTTATTGTCTATCCCTTTGTTTTGATAACAAAGTTATACATTTTTTAGCTGATCACTGATGTAGTATAAATGATTATAAACCTAGATATGGTAACGTCAGATAAAAAAAATAACAGCAAACAGATATTGCAATGAAAACAAGATACTATACCAAAGGTCAATTATACCAAAATGTCACAGTGCAGCTCTTCATAAAATACTCTATTGCTTTTAAATGCCAAAGAAGGTGGAAATATATTCCAATCTAATCAACAGCATAGAAAATAAAGACACATAAAATAAGAGCAGCAGGAAAAGACATACCAACATATATAAAAATTTGAAATACTTACAGTCTGACTAGAAATGGATGGTTCACCTCTTTCAAAACGGATTTCTCATTGTGTACATGCTGTTCTTGTTTTAGACGAATGACATCGGGAATGCTCATTACTTTTAGTGCAAAATAGTTCTTTGCCGTTTTCTCTTTTACCAAATGGACCCTCCCAAATGTCCCAGTTCCTGCAAAGGAAAAGAAAAAATTACATTAAAAATGGTTTTCCTGCCGTTTTTTATATCCTAATGGTGGATAATGTATAGCAATTTAGACTATATTGATGGCATTTTCTATAATAGAAAGCACTATTCAGAAACCACCCATCTCCTGTCTTGCCCATGGTCGCTTGTGAGGACTACATTTTAGATAGATCTACAAGAACTTTTTTTTGCCCCCAACAATTGCAGTTTTTACTTTTCTTGCACATATTAATTTCCTGATTGAACATTATGGTTTTGTCTCATTTGTTTTTATTCTGTGTATTTGGGAGGAAAAGCTCTCAAACATCCAATAGTCCAATGTCAGACCAAATTTTTTTTTTTTTTAAATTTTGAAGGGTTAGACCTGCTCTTGGATTTTTAATTTCTATGTTCCCGCTGAGTTTTCTATAGGATTTTTAATGCTGTCTTTATGTACTCAGAGAAGATTACCCTTCACTTCCTGTTCTGTTTGCCACTCATCACCTAGACAAGACATGAGAGGAAATCTCCTAAGGGCCCTTTCAAATGGACACCTTCCATTCCAATTAGCAGGAGATCTGTTTACTGATCGGAGCAGAGCAGGTGGATGACAAGTCCGTGTCTGCTCAGTTTATGCATAGCGGATATGGACAGACCGCACTGCTTTATTGGCTACCGGGCGTAAACAGTCTCCGCTGTCCATTTACACCCGGCTGCCTCAAGTCTGCCCAACAGGAAGAAGACGCAGTCTTTTTTTTTTTTTTTTTTTTTTTTTTTTTTTAAGAGGGGCTTGATTGGACCAGGAGGTAGGCAGGTGTAAATGGACACAAGTTAGTTTACACATGCAGGTCCATAGGAATGCATAGACCTTCTCATCAGGTACATCTGAAACACTGACAGGTGGACCTGATCTGATCGCCCGTGTCAAAGGGCCCATAATGTAAGAAAACTAATAACATCCTGACAAAGGTTATAAACCTTTCTTAAAGCGATTCTAAAGGCTGAAGGTTTTTTTTTTTTACTTTCATGCATTCTATACATAAAAGTAAAAAACCTTCAATGTGCAGCTCTTTTTAGTACTCACCTAAGGCCGATCTGGATCCAGCGATGTGCACGAGAGCAGCAGCTCTCCCAGATCTCTCCCTCTTCATTGGCTCAGACACCGCAATCACAATCAGTGAGGAGGGAGCAGGGGTTAGGGGGTAGAACTGAGACACACTTTGTATGTCCCATAGACACACAGAGCTGTCTCGAGAGTGAGCATGCACAAGTGCCCCCAGTGCAAGCAGCTTGCTCTGGGGGCACTTAACAGTGGGGAGAAGCCAGGAGTGCCACTGAGGGACCTGAGAAGAAGAGGATCAGGACTGCCCTGTGACCTTGAGCTCAGCTTTACCAGAATTTTAGCATTATTATTAGACTATATAATTATTAGACTTCTAAACTATCATCTGTAGTGCAGAATCTATGTTACTGATACCACTGCTTGTAAATATGTTTTAGTCCCAGGAACAGGAACCTTTATGGAAGACAGTGGGGTTGATTTGCTAAAAGTAGATAGGCTGTTCCCTTTGCAAGAGACTTTTCCCCAGAGCTTCGTAAATTAGGTGATATTTCACTTTGAAAAGAATACCCAATCATGCGCAAATAAAATAATAATAAAACATATTTGTGTTTACACGATTGCATGATGGAAGTCAGCAGAGCTTCACCTCATTCACTAAGCTAAATGAATAGTGCAAACTGTAGCAAAGTGAACAGACTATTTGCCTTTAGTAAATCAACCCTATTGCATGTTTCAGTATACAGTTAATTTATTTAAATGTGTCAGGAATATGCACTTGTCCCCTTAAAATATTTTAACCTGTTAGCGCCGACCCCCGCCCTTTAGGGGGTTTTTGATGGGGGTTTCTGAACAAGTGACCGTCTTGATTGGCTATCACAGTGGTCACATGATCGGAAAGCTCCAGATCGCAGGTAGCCATCGGGAGCTTTCCATTAGCCTCTGGTAATTGCGCAGGGTGTGCGCTCTCGGCACAGCTGTGTTTACATTCTGATAAGCATGTAAGCAAATGCTCAGAGTTGCGTCCCACCAAGAGGCCACGTATATGTGTTATGTAGGCGCAAACAGGTTACTGAGCAAAGATCTCACATACACCAAGAACTAGACTGGGTTGTTCTGCGTTCCCAGAATTCTGTGTGTTGGAAATAAAAATGATATGCAAGTGTGCAATGTTAGACAAAATTAAGCCATTAATAAAAAGAAGGTCATCAGCGCTTATTTGCTCAGGGCTTTAAATCCCGGTGGGTTCTTTTAATTAAGGGGTTATGGATGGCCGGTGAGTGTATTATTAGTGCACAAGGTGATGGAGCACATAGAAAAAAATGCATGAAGATTATTTTATGAAGCACCAAAAGGACTTGTTTGCACACTATATGGCGTGGGACTTTCATTTATTGATATTATTTGTTTTATTGATATATAGCACTTTTTGGTATATGTGTGCACTGGACCTTTTTTGTATTTTATTGAATTTTGAAGTGTATAAACACTTTAAGGGGGCAGCTAACGCATAGTATGACAATTTTTCACAATTTTGGGATTAGGTGGTTTAATTTATTTAATTTCTTATGAAGGCTTTTTAAGAGAAGGCGCTCGGTTTTAGTTTTCTTACAAAATTAAGCCATTGTTATACATAAGCCAGGCACTAGTCAAAGGAAGAAAAATAACATGCCTGTGTGCTGAAGAGATACAGTATATCTTTATTTACAAGAGGCTGCCTCCATGCTTTCTAAAACAATCCACTTGATAAAGGAATTTGGCACCTTTTCAGGCTTTGTAATTAATTAGGATAAATCTGTTATAATGCCAATAGTCTTCACTGCACAGTACCCAAGTGCCAGTTCAGTCCCATTATACAGGGCTTTGTCATTTATATTCTAGATTCAAAGCAAACAGTTGAACTCAAAGCAAACAGTTAAAGGGCACTGTCACCTTGTTCATTCAAAGGAAGATGACGGTGTCAAAAAGCTCAAAAAAAGTCCTCCCTGACCCTATGTACCAGTGAATTAAAATTCTCAAAAAGGTCCAGTCAGTAAAATTTCCTTCCAGAAGAGGTCTGAATCACGTTTGATTCTTAAAAAGGCACCTCTGTGCATTTGCAAACACAGTGCATTTGGTGCCACAGTACCATACAGCTTGGTATGGCGCCATTTAAGAAAAAAAAAAAAAAAAGGTCAGGGACTTTTTTCTCTGTGTTACTGCGTATAAGGCGCCTAGCCTCTGATCCTTCACATCACAGTCCTGTTATTACATCAGTATTCTCAGTTCCCCTGCACATCATCCCTCCCTTCACATTACAGTCCTTACTCCCCCTTCACATTCTTGTCCTCGGCCCCCCTTTATATCACCACCCCCCCACTTCAAATTGCTGTTCCCATTCCCCCTTCATGTTCCTGTTCTTACCCCCTTTATAGCACCCCTTCTTCACATTGCAGTTCCCAGTCCTCCTTCACATTCCAGTCCACGCCCCCTTTATAGAACCCCCCTTCATACTGCAATCCTCAGTCCCCCTTAACATTCTTGTCCTCACCCCCTTTATAGAACCCCTCCTGCACACTGCAGTCCCCGACCCCCTTTCACAGTCCTAGCTTCATTCCCTTTAAAGCACCCCATTTACATTCCTGTCCTCACCCCCTTTATAGAACCCCTCTTCTCTCTCTAGTCCCCAGCCCCCTTTCACATTCCTGTCCTCACCCCCTTTATAGCACCCCATTTACATTCCTGTCCTCACCATTTTATAGCACCCCTCATCAAATTCCTGTCCTCACCCACTTTATAGCACATCATTTACATTCCTGTCCTCACCCACACTTTATAGCACCCCTCATCACATTCCTGTCCTCACCCACTTTATAGAACCCCTCTTCACTTTGCAGTCCCCAGCCCCCCCTTCACATTCCTCTCCTCACCCCATTTATAGAACCCTTCCTTTACATTGCAGTCCTCAGCACCCCCTTCACATTCCAATCCAAATCCCCTTTATAGAACCCCCGCCCTCACACTGCAGTCCCCAGCCCCCCATCACATTCCTGTCCTTGCCCCCTTAGTAGAACCCCCTTCCTTTCATGACACTCATTTCACATTCCTGTCCTCACCTGCCACTTTTATATCAATCCCTTCCCTTCACATTACAGTTTCCAGACCCCCTTCACATGACCCCCGGCTTCTCCCATACTTCATAGTAGTAACAGACCCCACTTCCGTGTCCTAACTTACAGTGCAAAGGGCGGAACGCACAGAAGGTCTAGAGCTGACACTGGAAGGGCAGCACAACAACGGACAGAGGGTGGGAGCTGCCCCAATTAACTGATTGGTTGCTATGATGCAGGGCCATCCTAGAAATCAGTCAACTGGGCCTCCATCCATTGTTGTGCTGCTTCCATATGTCAGCTCAGCAAAGAAGACAGTGCCTGAGGCAGTTGGGGGGGGAGAGAACCGTCTGGCACGACCGTGGCGGGTCGGGGAGGTACACTGACTTGGTCCGCCTCCAAATCGCGGTCCGCCATTTAGTGATGGCTGCTATATACTTTTTCCCTGGGCTCTTCATTGTTTTATTTTTTTTTTTTAACAAAGTTTATCAATAAGTATTATGAAAGATACAATACCTGGGCTCCTTCACGGTTCACAGCGGGCGAGAATACTGAGTAAGAGGGGCAAATGGCCTCCTGTTCAAATAAATGACAGTCAGTCACCTGTCAATGATTTAATAAAAAGCTGCCTGCAGGAGACTGCCGATGGAAAACCTGTGCATCCCACACTGGTGCAGATGGCCCTTTACATGGGTATACTGATTGATACACCCATGTGAATGAGGCCAATAAATGCACAATGACTGGTTACAGATACTGTTTCAAGACTCGTTCCACCTTCCTCTCTGTGCAGATGTGTATGTGCACTGGTATACAAAGTGTAGGGGCTTTTACTTTTTTACACTGTATTGAAGTGTC